TGCGAACCATTTTCGAGCTTCTGCGCCAACACAAACTCTTCCTAAAACGGTCTAAGTGCTCCTTCGGGGAGCGGCAGGTTCTTTATCTAGGTCATGTCATCCACGGGCAAGGTGTGACGGTTGACAGTTCCAAAATTCAAGCTATCAAGGGATAGCCCAAGCCTCAATCCGCCAAGGCCTTGCGCGGGTTCCTAGGGTTAACAGGTTACTATCGCAAATTTGTGTAGAATTATGGACTTTTGGCTGCCCCGTTAACCAACCTGTTAAAGAAAAATTCCTTCCGGTGGGACGACATAGCCGATGCAGCTTTTTTGACATTAAGAGATGCCCTATCCTCCACCCCAGTTCTGCAATTACCAAACTTCGCTCTCGAATTTACCGTTGAGTGCGATGCCTCTGGAGTGGGTATCGGGGCCGCATTATAGCAGCAAGGGCACCCGATTGCCTTCTTCAGTCGCAAGCTGGCCAACCGACATTTGAAACTTCTAGCCTATGAGCGCGAACTAATCGGCCTAGCTAGCGCTGTCCAGCACTGGAGGCCGTATTTGTGGGGGCGGTCATTCGTCGTCAAAATCGATCACTACAGCCTCAAGTACTTGTTGGAACAACGACTCACCACTTCCCCTCAGCAGCACTGGGTTAGCAAACTGTTCGAGTTCGATTTCCGGGTGGAATACAAGGAGGGATCCTCAAATCGCGTAGCCGATGCTTTGTCTAGACGCGATGAAGATGCGATGTCTCTGTGTGGAATTTCCCAACCCCAGATCTCCTTGTTAGACGACATCAAGAAGGCAACACCACAATCTCTGGAATGGTTGCTCCTTGTACAGAAGATTCAATCCGGCGCCGCCGTCTCCAATTGGTCCCTTCATGACGGGTTGGTACTATATAAAGGCCGGGTACATCTTCCGCCAGACTCCCCGTTGATTCCCGCCATCGTCTCCAGCATCCATAACTCCACCCATGAGGGCATTCAAAAAACACTGCACCGCGTCCAGGCTGATTTCCATTGGCAGGGTATGAAGACTTCTATTCGGGATTTTGTCTGAAATTGCTCCACGTGCCAACAACATAAATGGGAAAACCTGCACCCGGCAGGCCTCCTTCAGCCCCTTTCAATCCCGACACAGATCTGGGCCAACATCTCCATGGACTTCATCGAAGGGCTACCCAAGGTAGGCGACAAATCAGTCTTGTTCATGGTGGTAGATCGCTTCTATAAATATGCCCACTTCATTCCTCTATCACACCCGTACAGTGCCACTTTGGTTGCCCTCGCCTTATTTACGCATATTTTCCGCTTACATGGGTTACCGGAATCCATCATCAGCGACAGGGACCCGGTTTTCACTAGTGCCTTCTGGAAGGAGTTATTTCGGCTACATGGCACCACCCTGGCCTTATCCTCAGCATATCATCCACAGACCGACGGACAGACGGAGGTGGTAAACTGCACGATCGAGATGTATCTCCGTTGCTTCGTGGGGGATCAACCGTGACGGTGGGTAGATTGGCTTCTTTGGGCCGAGTACTGTTACAACACTGCCTACCATTCTTCCCTCGGCATGACCCCTTTTCGCGTCGTCTATGACCGGGACCCTCCTTGCTTGTTATCCTATGAACCTGGTTCTACTTGATTGGAGGAAATTGATCGCTCCTTACAGGAATGCGATGCCCTCCTAGCCGACGTACACCTTCGCTTACAGCAGGCCTAGCTCCTTATGAAGCTCACCTATGACAAGCACCATCAGGAATTGTCGTTCGAACCAGGACAATTTGTTTGGTTGAAACTCCAGCCCTACCAGCAACGCTCCCTGCGCCATAGGGCTGGCCCTAAACTAGCCCCTAAGTTCTATGGCCCCTTCAAGGTTCTACAGCGGATTGGCACTGTGGCATACCAACTGGAATTACCAGAGAACAACCAGATTCATGATGTTTTTCACGTCTCCTTGCTAAAACCATTTACGGGTGTTCCTCCGGACCAAGTTCCCTCCCTGCCACCCTTGAAAGAAGGAAAACGTGTTCCCCAGCCTAGGGCTCTCATCCGCTCTCGTATTAATCGAGGTATTCTTGAAGTTTTGGTGGAATGGGACAGCCTACCATCGGCTGAAGCCACCTGGATTCCCTTGACCGAGTTCCAAGCCACGTATCTGGAGTTCGAGCTTGAGGACAAGCTCTTAGTCCAGGAGGGGAGTAATGATATGGACGCGTTCCTCGGGAAGAAATATCATTGCCGCCGACAGCAGCAGTGATCCAATGTTCTCATCCTACCCAGTTCGACAGCAACAATCTTATCAGATTAGATTAGACTATCCTACTTGTTCTTATCTTATCTTATTAAGATTAGTATATTAGATTATCTTATCTTATCAGATTAGGATTAAGAGAGACTTATCTTATCCTATCAGTCTTATCTTATCAAGATAGAGCAAGAGGGATCCCTATTCAGCAAGGAGTCTCCCTAGGATTAGGACTCTTGTAATCTCCTATTTAAGGAGACACCATTATTGAATGAAGGCATCGRATATTCAGTCCAGAAGTGAGTTAGGAGAGTTGGTGATCTTTTGAACAAATCACCAAGGCGCCAAAATAGGTTCATCAAGAGTAGGGAGGAACAAGAGAAAATAGGAGGTTTTCCCCATAGACCGACCCGTGACGAGATCCTATTCGCGGGCCCTCAACAAAACCTTTCTCTCTCCCTCTCTCTCTCTCTCTCTCTCTCTCTTTGTAGATGTTGGCTCCCTCGAAGAAGCCTAGAGTTAGGCAGGTTCCTAACAATTTGGTATTAGAGCCAAGATGCCCAATACAAGAACAACAACGGTGGACGCTCGAGTAGACAAGGTGGATGTGGAAATCCATTGGATGTCTACAAACATCAAAGAAATCAAAGAAAGCTTTGCCGCGCTTTTGAACAAGATTGATTGTATGCCACCACCTGAAAACAGGGGAGATCAGAATAGGGAAGATCCAGAGGAAGCATCAACAGAAAAAGCCACCAAAGTGGGACTGTAACAAACTGCACGGTAGAAATGGACTTCCCGGTCTTTTGATGAGGAGATCCCACCTCATGGCTTCTCCGCACAGAGCGCTACTTTGACTATAAGGATACACTAGGCCAAGATTGAGTCACGCTAGCATCTACACATCTCAACAGTGAGGCAATCCTTTGGTATTAGTGGTATTGGCGAGGACACCCCCAAGTTTCTTAGCTGGATTTTGTGGATGCCTTGAACATTCGATTTGGAATGTTGGCTTTCAAAGGTTTTGATGAGAAAATGGTGAATTTGCGGCAAACAGGATTGGTCCAAGACTACTAAATGGAATTAGAAAGATTAGTAGTGCATGTCCAAGGCTAGGTGAAAGAGCATTGGTCGGAAGTTTTGTCGGCGGCTTGAAGGAAGAGATTCAACTAGAGGTAAGAGCTATGCAACCTACCTATGTTCTTGATGCCGCTACATTAGCTCGATCTTATGAAGAAAAACTAGCTTGGTCAAGAAGAACTAGCAGGCAAGTGAGACCCATGTTCAAAACCCCTACCTGGAACAAAGAAGGGATTTTGGTAAGGCCTAATAGCTTCGGCTCAAAACCAAGCTTTCCATTCAAGAAATTAACTTGGGTTGAAATGCATGCCAGCAGAGACAAGGGTCTCTGCTATAATTGCAACGAGAAGTTTGGGAGGCCATATTTGTAAGACCCAACAAGCTTTTTTTTTTTTTTTCCTCCAAACTGAAGCTCAATAATATGGGGAAAATTCCAACGATAGTGAGGAAACAATCTGCAATCAAGGGTTAGAACACTGGTCAGAGACTACCTCGGAAATATCCTTACAAGTTCTTACGAGTGGAAGGACTGATCCAGGGCTTCCGCGTAGAAATCTTGATAGACAATGGTAACACTCTCAATTTTGTAACTCATACCTTGGTAAGGAAGTTAGGACTTCCAGTTCAACCCACATTAGTATTCACTTTACATGTAGCAAATGGAAGCAGTTTGCCTTGTGACAGCATGTGTGCCGGCACAAAGACCAAAATACAAGGGCACCAACTTGTAGTACATCTATGCCCACTTGAATTCAGTGGGGCAGATGTGGTTCTAGGGATTCAGTGGTTGAAGCAATTAGGACCTGTTCTCTGTGGGGCAGATATGGGTGGGTCAGTTATTCATCTGCAAGGACAGATTGCAAAAGGGCCTGGATCCGTCAGTCTGGCCATGTTATCCAAACAGGTTGGGGATTCGAGCCAACCCATCTTTCATGTGGCTTGGTTCTAGTTGGACCAGCCAAACACTAGCCAACATTAGCCAGACCAAGGAAGCTGAGGATTACCACAACCAGCTCTGGCAGCTCCTTAAGCAGCACACAAGTGTGTTTGAAGAACCAAAAGGATTGCCCCCACAACATGACCACCGCATTTTGCTCTTGCCAAGTGCAACATCAAGAAATGTAAGGCCATATCGTACCCACATTTCCAGAAATTAGAAATTGAAAAACAAGTTAAATGCTTGATAGATGCATAATTCATCCCAATCATAATCCATTTTCCTCCCCACTATTATTAGTTAAAAAGAAAGATGGGACTTAGGGATTTTGTATAGACTATAGAGCCCTTAACAATATTACCATTAAAGACCGATTCCCCATTTGGGTTGACAAATGCCCCATCCACCTTGCAAGCATTGATGAACGATGTATTTCATCCATATTTGTGCAAATTCATCCTAGTTTTCTTTGATGACATTCTAGTATACAACCCAAATGGGGAAACACACCTGGCCCATTTACAGGTCACACTTGACACTCTCAAGGCCCATGAACTCTATGCTAAAGAATCCAAGTGCGCCTTTGGCCAAACTCAAATATCTTACTTGGTACATATAGTGGAGAATGGGCCAGTGACAGCTGACCCAGACAAAGTTTCTTGCGTATTAAGGCGGTCTCCACCCTAAAATGTGAAGGATTTACGGTCCTTTCTAGGCCTAACAGGATATTATTGTTGTTTCAGCAAGAATTACGGCTTGATTGCTGCACCCTAACACAATTACTCAAGCGGGATTCATTCAAATGGACACCTGAAGCCCAAGAAGCATTTGAACAATTTAAACAAGTTGTATAATCTCCACAATTAGCACTGCCCAACTTCTCAAAGGATTTCATCGTAGAGTGTGATGCTTCCAGCCAAGGATTAGGGGCTGTCCTCATGCAAGAAGGGCGCCCATTGTAGAGTGTGAGCTTATTGTACTCACAATTCAGCATTGGCGGTCTTATTTGTTGGGTTGGAGATTCATTATATGTACCATTCACCTAGGTCTAAAATATTTGCTAGAGCAGCCCATTCTCTCACCAGAAAGTAGCATTGGATATCCAAGATACTGGGTTATAACTACACTATTGAATACAAGGTGGGCATTGGCAATAAAGTTGTTGACATTCTATCACATCCACCTCAGTTGGGCCAGCTGCTTGTTTCTTCTCCTATCAGTCCACTCATGGGCCAATTACGGTTTGAAGCCTGTTCTGACAAAGGTCTACAAGACACCAAGGCAAAAGTATTGGCTGAACCTTAGAGTTATACAGGGTACTAAGTTCAAGATGATCTACTGTACTACAAAAACAGGTTATGTGTTCCGACCCATTCTCCTCATCACAATTTCATTGGAAAGGAATGCACACCTCCATTCAAAAATTCATTGTTAAATGCTTCATTTGCCAACAGTACAAGATTGATACTAGAACACCAATGGGACTATTACTGGTGCCAATACCCAGACAAGTTTGGCAAGATATTTCAATGGATTTTATTATGGGGTTGAGAGCTCTACACAAATCAAATATACAAAAAGAGGCCATGCCAGCAAGAAGCCATATCAACATAGCAAGTTGAACAAATTGTTGTAACTGAACAAAAACAAGGTTGCAGTCTCTGTTGTAATGATGAGAATGTAAACATAATAAATACAATCAAGAAAGCCAAGAGGAGGCATCAAGGAAATTTAGAAACAAACCTCTCTCTCTCTCTCTCTGTGGAGGTTGGATCCCTCAAAGAAGCCTTGAGTTAGACAAGTTCCTAATGGAATTTCATTAATGGTTAGGGTGAAAAACAATGAGTATAACATAAGAATACAATCAGTATGAGAGATAAACCCGCTGATCTCTTGCCAAAATCTCTCTTTTTTTTTTCTTTTTCTTACAACAATGTCCAAAAGAGTTGATCTCTTCCCACCTCTTGTTTGGCTAGAGCATCAACAAAGGAGTTAGAACTTCTTTTGTACCAATTATAGTCGCAATTAAATGTTTTTTTTTGTCAACCATCTGAATTTCTTTCTCTCATTAGCTCCACAACTTTTCTTCTTCTCTTTGTAGCCAACCCATGACCAACTTGGAGTCTCCTTCAATGGTTAATTTTCTAATATTTAGGATCCTTGCCCTTTGTATTCCCTTGAGAATTGAATTGCCATAACTTCAACCCTTAGAGAATCTCCTAAACAATAGGGCCTATATACGATGCAATTATTTGCCCTCATCATCCCTAAACACCCCTCCTACTCCTGATATTCCTAGATTTCCCATGTTGCTTCCATCAAAGTTGAGCTTAATGATCCCTCTTTCTAGTGGAGACCATTGGAGATTGATGTCATTCTTATTTATAGAAGAATTTTCCACTTCCAATATCTAAGGATGTCATCCATTGAGACATTTGAGAATATTTCTTAGTACTTCACCCAATGAATCACTCTTATAAAATATTTTCAATTATAGCTTCTTTGCTTCTCCCCTTTTCCAAGAAGATTATTGAGTTTCTTTCTTCCTATATAGTCCAACTTATTTCAACCCTTAAACATTTTCTCATGAGCCTTCCCCTTTTCTTTGGTCAAGCAAATGTTGTTGGAGCAAAAAGGCTTTGCATATCAACTAGGGGATTCCACCTACACTCAAACAAAGAGAAAAATCATTCTCAAATGTAAACAATGAAAGAATAGGGGATTAAGTGATAGAAAGTCTCACCATTGGCTTTACACAAGACACACCAATGAGGGGATAAGCACCACATAAGTCTCTCGTCTTTTTTTTTTGGAGCAAGTCAGAAGTATTAATTCTTTCACGAAAGGGCAAAAATGGCAGCCCAGTGCATGAGGCTCCCACCAATGCAAGGTCTGGGGAGGCTTATCAACAAAAAGCTCCAACATCAAACCCTTGGTGGGATAGTATTGAGTGCTTGGGAGGGGGTGGATTTGTTTTGATCCTTCTTCATTTGTTAATGTGATGGTGGTAGATTTGATGAGTTCCATAGTTAGGATGTTGGGGGATAAGAGAACAAAGGTGATGACTTTGTTAGATTGGCTAGAAGGTTGTTTAAACAAAAATTGGTGAGAAACATTGGCAAGACAAGGTGCTAGCAAGGGTCACTAGTAGAGAACAGGAAAATGTTGTTGGTTGATCTAATTAAAGAAAAGATAGTGGGGCGGGGAACTATGTCCCCCCGCCCCCAACCAATTATTTTGTTGATACAACTATCTTTGTACATATTCTATTTTTTATTCACAAATTAATAAAATGTTCAACTTATCCAAGAAGTTGTTGGAAAAGGAAAATTGTAGCAATACATTGGTCTTTTTTGTAGGGCCTCACAAGTATTAACTTCCAAATGTACTGGCTAGCAAAACTCTTTTATTTTGGGTGGCATAGGACCTTTCCATATAGCTTTAGCTAGGAAAACTGCTTGAGGATGTGGTGACAAAAGAGTTTGGAAGAAATGTACAGGAAAATAAGCCATTTGCATTGGGGGTCTAAATTCTTTGGTCAGGAATAGAGAGGGACCTAGATCCTCTCAAAATTGGTTTTGTTTAAGGAAAGAATACAAAGAGGAACCAGTTTGGAGTAAAGCAAACTTATGCTCTTAGGGAGTCTCCTAACCCTATATGGCCTAAATACAGGGCCAACACTCTACCTCCCTCATCTCTAAAAACACCCCTATTCCCGAGGGGCCCGGGTTGCCTAGAGAGCTTCCATCAAAATTTAGTTTCACTTTAGAACAAGGCGGTGGGGTCCAACTTTCTTGAATTGATGGGGAGAAAGATGAGGAACCAGCTATGACACTCCATCCTCTAGTGAAGTCAGTGAAAGAAAAGTCTTTAAAAAGCTCCAAAGCTTTTATCTAATGTATAATCCTGATAGTGGTGCCCTCTATAAGTGTTTCCTTGGTTATTTCTTGTCCTTGGAAAATCCTATCATTTCTCTCTTCCCACACTAACCATAATACAACTGCTCTTGTTGTTTACTACATCACCCTGGCTCTCTTCTTTGGCAACTGGAAGAAGCTAGAGTCGAAAAGGTTTCGCACAAACAAAGGAGGAGTCCACCTGCAACCAAAGAGAGAAGAGAACCAATCCCAAATACAAGAAGTAAAAGGGTAGGAAATAAATATATGAGCAATTATCTCTCCATTTTGCAGGCAAAGGTAACAAACATGAGGGGAAAGGCACCAGCCTTTCCTTTTTTTTTTTAAGTACATCCAAAGTATTGACATTTTGAAGAACCACTTCCCAACAGAAGCCCTAACCCTTGGTGGAATAGGAGTAGCCCACACTTGTTTTGTAGGGAAATGGGTAGGCACAACGTCAAAACAAAGTAAGGCATTGAAAAAAAAAGAGCAATAGAAAAACCCTGAGGGGACTCTAACCAAATTCTAGTATCTGGGCAAGACTGATCTAGGAAAATTGCACCCAAAAGAGAGAACAACTCATCTGCGGAGGCCACTTCTGAGTTTCTCAACCCTCTCCTTAGTCCCAGATCCCAAGAACCCTCATTCACATGAACAAAGGAAATGACCTTCAATTTGTTTAATGAAAAAGAGTACATAACCAGGAAACTGTCCTTAAGAGGAGCATTCCCAACTCAAGTGTCCTCCCAAAACATAATTTTGTTACCTGAGCAAGCATCACACCTTATGAAAGGTTGAAAAGAAGGTAGGACTCCAATTAGGGCGTTCACGAGTCGGGTTGGGTTGGTTGTAGGTTTTTTGCTCAACCGAACCGACCTGGTCAGTTTGATAAACAAATAACTTGAAACTGACTGGTTATAAGGGAAAACCGACCCAAACATGAAGGGTCGGTTTGGGTTGGTTTTTTCGGTTTGGTCAGGCCAGTTTGGGGATGGTCAATTGGTCATCAAGGGTGATTTATTGATTTTCAATCTCATTTACCTATTTCGTATATGGCTCTTATTGGCTGATTTGGCTCATTGAGTGTTTGAATCAAACACCATCTTTTTCTAAGTCATATAGGCTGCTGAGTAAGTAACCTCAAACCTAAATATGGTTCCCATTTTTGTGTAAGTCCCTTCAACATCTTTTTCTAAGTCATATAGGCTATTGAGTAAGTAATCCAAACCCAAAGATGGTTGCTATTTTTGTGTAAGTCTCTTCAGCATCTTTTTCTAAGTCATATAGGCTACTAAGTAAGTAACCCCAAACCCAAAGATGGTTGCCATTTTTGTGTAAGTCTCTTCAACTTCAAGACTATTATAAAAAAAGTAATGAATGAAGGGGAGCCCAATGGTCTCCAACTTCAAGACTAATATAAAAAGTAATAACTGAAGTGGAATCCAATTGTCTATATTTGTAAAAAGTATTGTGTAAAGTCTTAAAAGTGGGGGGAGTTCCATTGTTTCTATTCCAAAACCAGAAGTATTAGACTTTTATTAGCCATAGTCGGTTCGGTTCGGGTTGGTTTTAGTTTTCAGATTAAAAAACCAAAACCAACCTGACCTGTTGGGTTGTTTATATTTATAAACCAAGACCGACAAAAAGTTTCAAAAGCCGACCAGATCGGGTTGGATTGGATTTGTTTGGTTCCTCTTGTGAACACCCCTAACTCCAACATTTGGTTTCCAATGGGAGTGGTGAGAGGCCTTGGGGTTGGTGTTGGTATCCCATCCATTTGCTGCCAAACCATGAATGCTTACCACCACCTTATGCCACAAGCTTTCTTGCTCTAAGGGATAGCAAGTCAAATTGAAAAGTTGATGAGGGGTTTTCTTTGGGAATTGGGTGACTCAAAAAATGATCACCTAGTGAAGTGGGAAGTTGTCACTAGGTGGCGGACCAATAAGCCACATTACCCTGGAGATTTGAAGCGCGTTACGCGAGACCGATGCTTACATAAAGGAACCTCCTTCACCTACATAAGGTACACACGATTGTGCACTGAATTCATTTTTGTATTCTAAGCTCTCTTGCTCTCTTTTTAATCTCATTACTGACTTAAGCATCAAAGTGCCCACCTTGGGTACTCTGACACTATTTTCTTACAACTTGGCCTGTCGACCTTGCTAGCCCAACGTCCGAGTTGTCTTCCGGTAAAGAGCTGCCAGATCGTGCACCATTAGAACCCTTATAAGGCTCCTGGCCTGGATAGGTTTTTGAACATTTTCTTTCAAAATTATTGGGGTATAATAGCGCTGGATTTATGTAATGCAGTCAAGGGTTTCTTTTGAGACAGGTCATTTATTGAAAGAAATAAATGAAACTTTTATTGCTTTAGTTTCCAAAGTTAGCCCATAAACCCCAACTCATTTTTGGTCAATTCATCTCTATAACACCAGTTAAAAAATCATTGAAAGGTGTTGACCAGTAGAC